GGTCAGTGCCGTGGCCTGCAGCCAGGCCAGCAGCTCAGAGTGGAAACACCCAGCTGGATGAAGTTATGCAACCAGAGGACAGACAGTGGTCCACAGCACTGAGAAGGAAGTGAGTGTATTTTGTTTTCTGGGGGGCACGGGGGAGGAACAGGGTCTTACTATGTAGCCCAGGCCAGCCTTGAACTAGCAATCTTCCTTAGACTTCTGAGGCATCACGGGCGAGCACCTCACGCTAGCTTATAAAGCGACATTTTAACTTAAGTGCCTCAACCTCTTCTTGCTGCCTATGACACACTGTAAATGGAGCCAGACTCCAACCCCCCCACCCCCGCCATGTGACCCGGGAAGCTCATGTAACTTTTCTGTACTTATTGCACTGCCTGTTCTTCCCCCATCAGCAAAATGAGGCTAATAATAACTTATTATACGTTTTCTCATAAGCTTCCTTACAAACTCTGAATTAAAAGGAATAATTCCTGGGCTGGACATGTAGTTGAGTGGTAGAGGGCTTGCTTGCCTCACCTGAGAAAGGTCCTGGGTTTGATTCCCAGCACCACAGTCAGTGACTAAATTAATAAAAGAAAGAATTCCTGTAAAGCCCTGAGATCAGGGCTGAGTATATGATAAGCACCCTAGGAATATGGTTGCTACCATTTCTTAAGTCATCCATTTTGCAGCTTGGATACTGCAGTAGAGTTTTTATTTCAGAGTTTTTGCCCTGTCTCCCCTTGGCTTGATTTAATGTGAATTTGATTAAAAATCAAAAGAGAATTGAATTTCGCCTTTCATTTATGCACAGAAAGGTCTGGAAGGAAGTCACATCGGAGTTTCAGTAGTGGGCTTCTGAACAGATTTATTTTATTTGCATATTCCACATTTGCCATCGGTTATTTTTACAGTGAGAACTGATCATTTCAGACAAGAGGGACATTTTCTCTAAGCAGAGACAAGGGAAGGGGCTCAGCTTCATTTGGGAAAAGCCCCCAAACTCATTGTCTTGGCTTAGAGCAAGTCCCCTCCTCATCTGATGCAGAGTCTACAGACCAGGCCCCTCCCCTTCTGGCCTGAAGTCTGTAGTTGGCTTTCTCCTCCCACCCATGGCCTCTCTTGGTGCATGTTGGTGGGATGGGAAGGGACAGGTTCCCCCATCCCCAGGCCTGTCCCAACCCTTGGGCCCGGGCTGTGTTTTCAGCTGCACTCTCTGTCGTGGTCTCTGTCCTCTGCAGTGCTCCCTCATTGTGTCCTTGCTGCATTGCCTCTGACCCCACGACAGGCCTCTCTCCTATGTCCAGGATTCTTGACTGGTGCCACCTTCTTTTCCCTCCGTCTTCACTGCTGCTTCTGACATGCAGGTGTTGCCTGCCCATCCGTTTCATAGCAAGATTCTGTTAACGCAGAGAACAACACCAGCAAACGAGGCCATGCTTGCTAAGGGAAGTTTGCTGCAAAGAGCAGCAGCCTTCCCACACACGTCCTCAGCACGTCTGGCATAAACATCCACCATATTTAATCTTTTAAGCCATATTTAACCTCACTGGGTGGCCCAGAGGAAGAACCCAAGTACACAGATGAAGTTGTTTGGCGGGGGTGCACAGCTAATACACAGCATGGAAATGACACCCCCCCCACCCCGCCCGGCCAAGTAACAGTAGGAGTTTCCTTTTGGGAAGACAAGGGCTTGAATCAGAGAGGGATGCAGGGAGTGCTGGTCCATGGGCAGCGGTCCCATCATGGCCTAGGTGGTGCTCATGGGAGCACACTTGGTGACATTCGTGGAAATGCGTGTGTCTCCTGTGTGATATGGATGACTGATGGGGTGGGGGGGCGAGCACTAGGCGTGTGTGGTTGTGGTTTGTATTCTACCTGTGGGGAAAGTGCAAGGCTCCTCTGCGGGGTTGACCTTGGCTCTAACATTCCATACAATGGAGGGGTCCCCTACTCTGCACTGGGGATGCTGTGGCACTACAGGACCTTCTGAGGGGACACAGCTACATGGCTTGTGACACTAAAGCAGCTGCAGTTGAAGTATATTCCATTGAAGTCACTGCTGTCTGGGATCTCCTGTCCTGGGGACTTCTTCCCTACTTCCTATTCTGTCATTGAGGCCCCTGGCAAGTCTTTCAGAAAAATCCACCAGGAAAATCAGGGCAAGGCACAAGGTTAGGACCATGCCGGGCCCAGAGCCATCCAGCACCAGGGGAACCAACAGGGCCTCCCATCCTCTGAGCTCTTGTCTTGCTGACCTGTGACCTCCCAGAGCCTGGGGGCTCGGTTGCCAGCAGAATTTCGCGTGGTCTTCACTGGACGGGGGTGAAGGGCAGAACGCTGGTCCACAGCTGCCCAGAACCAGGTACTGTTCTTTAGAATGCATTTCAAGTAGCGAGGCACGGGGCCCTGGGTCCACCGCAATGTAGTCTGATGAAGGTGGAACCCTGCCATGTTACTGTGTCCCCTTGCTCCTTGAAGGGCCCCTGATGCTCCAGGAGCCGTGCTTGGGGCTTCAGGGGACCTGTGTCTGCTCTTGTTCATGATTCTGCTCCAGGCCTGGTCCCAGGCTCACGAGGACACCAGATTCCCCTCGTCCTCCCTGACCAGCCTTTCAAGACCAGCAAGCTCACCTCCCCTGGGATTTCATCCCCATGAACACAGCAGGGCCAGCACAGGCCACTGCCTCCCTTGTCTGTTGTCCCCCTGGGGCAGCTCAGCCTGGCGTCTTCCAGTGCTGCTCGATCCCACAAGTCACACCACCTGCCATCCACACTGCCTGGTCCTCCTCCTCCTGTGGCCAATATGGGGTAAACAGGATTTATGGAGGGCGAGCAATGTCCAGGCACAGCCCCAGTGTCTTACAGGCAGTATCTCATTTAATCCCCATTAAGCACATCTGGCGCGGGTGGGGGTTCACAGTGAGTGAATGGACGACTGTTCTGTGCAAGGCATTATTAATCTAGCCATTCCTTAGATGAGAAATGAAGGCTCACGGTTGGTGAGTAATCAGGTCACAATGTTGAGTGTCAGAGCTGGAATTCCACAGGCAGATGGCTTTCTAAGACGTGTATACGTTACCTGCTGATATGCTACAGTTTATCTGTTCATTCAACAAACATTAATCCAGTCCTACTATGAGTCACAGAAGAGAATGAAGCAGACAAAATGTGTGCCTGGCAGAGCTTCCATTTTAGCAAGGAAGACAAACATTAAAAGATTACAGTGTGTGAGGGAAAGAAACGTTGAATGCTACATTGTAGCAAGGGAGACATTTGTAACAAGTACATCTATAAGGTGAACAGAGCTAAGAGCTAATGAAAAAGAGGAGGAGGAAAGAGTGGGGGTGCCATTTTCTAGGGGTGAACAGAGGCTCTTAAGGAGGTAAAGGTGACAAGCCTCAGAAATTCTAAAGAACAGCTTCGAGACGGAGCGTACCAGGTAGAGTGAGGCCCGAGGGTTCTGGGGAGCTCTAGCAACAGCTGTGAAGACGGAGCCATCAAGACTGCAGGCCCTGTGCCCAGTTGCCCACAGGCACATCAAAGCCATCACTGCTGAGACTGAACTCAAAACCTTCTCCCAAGAAATCTTTCCTCCTGTGCTTCTGCCTCTGTTGATATCACCACTCCAGCCTGACTGCTACCCAAGCCAGAAACCCGGGCTCCATCGTGCATCCACCTCCCACACCACATCCCCCATTCTGCTCTCTCCTTCCTCCCCCTGCCCATCGCTGCCTGAATTCAGTCCCCTGTGCCCCTGGCCGGTCTCTCTCAACAACTTTCCTCCTCCAGCTGGGACTATGCAAAGTCCACGTGGAACTGGGCTGATGTTTAGGGAAAGCAGGCCACATCTGGTTTTTGGGGGGGTTGTTTTGTTTTGTGTGTGTGTTGGGGGATTTTGGCAGCACTGGGGTTTGAACTCAGGGCTTCACGCTTGCTAGGGAGGTGGGCTACTGCTTGAGCCCCTCCGCCAGCCCACGTGTGTTTAATTTTCTTCTAAGACTATTTGCTTGTTCAATAAAGTCCAAGTTCTCTGACCCAGAGTTTTAAAAAATATATATATAATCCAGCTACAGTTGTAATTTGATATTTTTGAAGAGCTCCATGAAAAAAGTAAAAACAGACAGAACTTAATTGCAATAATATATATGATTGAACAATTGTATCCAAAACACTATCATTTTAACATATAGTCACTATGAAAATATACTTTGTAATTTTTTTGTGCTAAGTCTGTGAAATCTGGCACATTTTACACTTAGAGCACACTTCAGTTTGGACCAGTCACATGGAATTAAGCTTTTTCTTTGTGCAGTACTGGGGTTTGAACTCAGGGCAGGTGCTCTACCACTGGAGCCATATGTCCAGCCCTAAGACCAGCCAGGGTCAGCACCAAGGTGTGGCTGCCAAATAGGACAACACGGCTCTAGCATCAGCTGCCCAGTCTGGCTTCTTCCCCTCCAGCCTCCTCCTGCCCCTCACTGTCCCTTGCCCTCTGTCCTTGGGTTCCTTCAGCTCTGACCCCTTTGCACACCATGCTTGCTCACGGGTCCAGGCCCATGCATGGACTCAGTGGTGTGGGTGGTGGTGGCTCTCAGGAGCCAGTGTGACATTGCAATGTCATCGGGGTGAAGCCAGCAGGGTGTGAGTGTTCACAGAAATCGGCAAACACTGTAAATCAGGACTTTGGGGGGTGGGAAGGGGGCCCAGTTGTTTGACATTTACCAGAATGTCACTGCACCTGTGACCATCTCTGTCCTATACTCTTAGTCCACTAGAAAACTCGGTCATCCTTGTCTGTGGATGTTTGTACCTGCTGTGGTTTGACTGTGCCCCCCACAGTTGGTGTGCTAGAAACTTCTCCCCAATACAAGTGAGGACAGGTGAGACCTCTCAGAGGTGACTAAGCCACAGGGCTCTGTCCTCATGAATACATCACCACCATGATAGCAAGAGTGGGCTCCTGATAAAAGAGGAAGTCAGCTCTTCCCTCTCACATGATTTTTTTTTCTTTTTTGGCAGCACTGGGGCTTGAACTCAGGGCCTCCTGCTTGCTAGGCAGGCACTCTACCACTTGAGCTACTCTGCCAGCCCTTTCTTGTGTTGGGTATTTTTGAGATAGGGTCTCATAAACCATTTGCCCCGGTTGGCTTTGAACCTCGATCCTCCTGATCACTGCCTCCTGAATAGCCAGGATTACAGGTGTGAGCCACCTGTGTCTGCTTTCTGTCACCATGGGGCAATGCAGCATCGAGGCCCTGGCCAGGTGTGGGCTTCCTGACCTTGGAATTCCAGCCTCCAGAACTATAAGAGATAAATCTCTGTTCATTATAAACTAGCCAGTCTGTGACCCTCTGTCATAGCAGCTCAAAATAGACTAAGAGGAATCCCTACCAGTCCTAGAGTTGAGAAAATAGACCCTGAGTGTCTGCACCCAGTGCTTGACGTGTGAGGGAGTCCTTCCTTCTTTCTGTTCTTTATTCTCTCCAATACCCTACTGGAACGATCACTGTAGATAAGACTGGATGCTTAAAGCTGGGCTGTAATACTAGCACTTAAGAGGTCGAGCCAAGGGGATTGCAGATTCAAGGTAAATGACAACCTGAGCTACATAGAAACACTGTTTCAAAACACCAAAAAAAGTTGAAATGTAAATTTAAATATGATATATATCTGAGTATGAGTCCTTTTCCCTTCATTACTCAGGCAATGTGAGTATTATAATAAACTCTGGTTTCCATATTTGAAAAGAAGTTTTTAAAAATTCACCAAAAGTCTAGGTATAATGGCTCATGCCTGTAATCTCAGCTACTCAGGAAGTGGAGATGGGGAAAGTTGTGGCTCGAGGCCAAACCCAGACAAAAAACTGATAAGACTCCCATCTTAACCAATGACTGGGCATGGTGGCACATGCCTGTGATCCCTGCTGAAAGGAAAGCATGGATAGGGTTGTGGTCCAGGTCAACCCAGGCATAAATGCAGGATCCATCCCCAAAATAACTAAAGGAAAAAGGGCTGGCAGAATGGCTCAAATGGTAGATTGCCTGCCTAGCAAGCATGAGGTCCTGAGTTCAAGCCCCAGTGCCACCAAAAAGAAAAAAAAAAAAAAACTTCACCACAAGGATGTTACTATGATTAAATCACAGAAATTGCTTAATCCAGTTTCTGGAACATTCCAGACACTCAAAACACTGAGGTGTTATTGATAATTGTTTAATCCTTACGAAGCACTTGCTCAAAACCTTTGGTCACAATGCATGTTGAATGAAATTTCAGAAATTCCTGGAGTCTGATTCAGAGAGTCTCTGAGTCAGAATCCCAGCTGGAGACGGGCGACACAAGAGCTCCCAGGGCTGATGGAGGGATTCTTTGATGGACTATGGAGGAAGGTCTGAGCAGGGTGAAAAGACCCCAAGGTGAGGGGACCCCAGGGTGCAGGGGACCTCAGGGTCAGCAAGAGTGAGTCTGAAGGTGCAAGGGGGGAGCTGTGACCTGATCCCAGGGAGAATGGCAGCCATAGGAAAGGCCACTCAAAAGTAATGGCGCCATCCTCGAGGACCCCAGCAGCTGTCAGAGCACGAGTGCTGCCTGGAGAAGTGTCTGCACCAGTGCTTCTCATTGGCCCAACCCCACTGCAAGCCTGGGGGCAGTGGCCTTCTGCCCAGTTCCTGGAGTGTAGCCCCTGGGATGGCGAGCTGGGTAGGGATCAAGAAGGCCTGGGAAGGTGAATGGCAACTCCCGGACACAGGGCATCTCCACGTGCACCAACCCTCCCCTGCCTACCAGTGCCCAGCACTGCACACAGACATGGTGAGCCAAGCCAGGCGGTTTCTCTGGTATTAGTCCTGAGGGACAGAATTTGATAACCAGCACTTGCATGGTGGCTTGGTGACTTTAGTTACAAATTTGTTCCCTCAAATATAAGCAAGCTGATTTTATTCTATGACTCTCTACTTCTTAACATGCAAGCATTCCTAGAGTCAGGAAGTCCTTTCCTATGTCTGCTTAAGTGACTCCCATGACAACAGAAGTGAATTGTCTATTAAACCTTCTCTACAGAGCAGGAAAGAACTGAGATGGATAGAGGGATGGATGGATGAATGGATATATGGATAGATGATAGATAGATAGATAGATAGATAGATAGATAGATAGATAGATAGATGAGATAGAGGATAGATGGGTGGATAGAAGATAGATGATAAATGGATGGATAAAAGATAGATGATAGATAGAGGATAGATGGATGGGTAGACAGATAAATGCTAGCTAGGTGGATGGATGGATAGACAGATAGATAGGCATGTGTGCACATGTGTTTGCATGTGGAAACATTTTATCCTTCACAACTCCTCATGACACTTTTCTTTGGTTTTCTTCTGTGGCCCTCTTTCCAAGTCTGTATTCAGTTCCTAAGTGGCCTGTCAAACATCTGACTTAGGTCAGGAAAGTTGCTAAAATGCTGCTCTGATTATCTTGGCTTCTTGATTAGGCCTGGAAAAGATTTATAGATTTCTTGGAAGGAGGCTGTGATCATTTCCTGGCTTGGTTCTGGATCCTATCCAGTTTCTCCACAAACCTCTCATGTTGGAGAGGACGGCTCTGGTCAGGAGATTCATTTCGCTTCTCTCCGTCCTGGGTCTGGTGTCCTGCATCTTTCCTCATCTCTGGTGATAATTTCAGAAAGGACTGCCCGTCCTAGAGGAAAGAGGGGGGGAGGAAGGCACCAGGCATCCAGTGCCTGGGGGGCAAGCTTGGTGCCTGGGACACAGACAGAGGTTCAATATGTCTGTAGAATGAATAGTTGATGAAGACACGGAAGACATTGGAGACCGTGCTCTCCAGATTAGAAAACCGAGAGCCCAGTGCTATCTAAAAGACCAGTGGTGGCTGAGGCTTCAAGCCCAGGCTTTCTGCCTTTTCTATCCAATGTACCTGACCACTTCACCCAAAATAACACCTCCCTCCAGCCAGCCACCTTGATTTGCCTTTGCTGTGCTCTTGCCCAAGGTCAGCTTTCCAGCAGTAAGTCAGGACCCACAGAGGCTGCGTGACCCAAAGCCCCTCTGTGCACATTAATTAACAATCCACTTTGCTGTCCTCTTATGGCCTTGCCCAGAGAGCATCCCCTTCTGATCTTAAGCTCTGCAGCTACTTTGGGGGATCCTGGGTAATTTCAGAGCCTTCTCTTTGTATATACTCTGATTGAGGTGTTAGAAGCCAGGACTGCCCAAAAGCTACCACCTGCTGGCCCTGGTCTCCGTGGCCCAGCGGTTTGTAGTTACCAGGGATCCACAGCCTGGTTGGATGCCGGTCCAGTCTGAGGCTACACTAGCAAGCTGGCATCAGGCCATGAACTGGCTCCAAACTCAGTTTCGCCTTTCAGTTTTCATCCTACCCCTGTGAGCTCATGGACACCATGGTCTAAGAGCCCCAGAGAACACAAGGACAGTACCTTCCTTAAGCGGCCCTCTGACCTTATCCCCGAGTCCAGTGCCTCACTGTCCAGCCTCCCAGCCTCCCAGCCCCCAAACTCGCCCGCTCTGGGCTCCTGCTGCCTCTGCTTGCCCCAGCTCCATCCTCTCTGGAAAAAGCAGCTGTGACAAAAGGCACAATTTTGTCTTCTGTAGTTCATTTTCACCCATTATTTTATTATAATATAATGACATGTTATTATAACTTTTACAAAAAATCAGACATTGTAGAAACCCCTCTCTGCCCACCCAAAACCACACCACCAAAGCAACCAAAGCAAATGCTTTGATAGGTACTTTCCTTTTCCTAAATTTAGGCACACATTTTAATATATGCATGTTTAAATCACATTTTAAAAAAATAAAGTATCATTGTCTATTGAGCTACACCTTCATTTTTTCAATTAGTGATGTATTTATTCAGGTCAGTTTGTATAGAACTGCTTTGTAATTTTAACAGGCATTGGGGAACCTGTAAAAAATTCAGGTTGGGCACAAAGTTTGATGTGCGTTTGTGGAGACTGGACAGAGGAGGACCTGGGCTGAGTCCACTTGGGGAGGGATCACGAGAATTCAATTGCAAAGGCCACACGGATGAGATTTGAGGAGGATTTCTGAGGTAAAATCTGCAGGATTGTGACAGAGTGTAAGAGTGGCTTGGTGACAGTTCATTTTGTTGTGTGTGACGGATGCCACACGAGGTAGCTTCAGAGGAAACGTGTTTGAAGGATGGGTTCCAGGGCAGGAACTACAGGCAAGCCTGAGGATGGCCTGGAATCCCAACTCAGAAAGCTGTCAGGAGGCACTGTCTGTTCCTCCTAGGGCTTGGGTCTCTCATTCCAACTTCTCAGTGAACGTCCCCTTCATTGTCACCTGTGGCCTGCTTTTCTGCAGCCTCGCCCAGCTGCAGTGACTGGAAAACAGCCCTACTTAGATGCATCCCACCTGGACCAACGGCATCGAATCTGGGGAAGGCCTGCCTGTCTGTGAGTGTGTTTGTCTGTCAAGAATTCCCTGAGCACTCTCCACACACAGCCAGGATGAAGAACCTTTGGGTTTGCCAGCTTCCGCGTCTCTGACGTGCCATTCCTAAACACCCACAGGAGGGAATGTGATCGGCTCAGCCTGGGTCAGGTGTTCACTGGGGCACAGGGGCAGAGGCTGGCATAGCTAAGCTTCTCCTCGAAGGAAGTGGAAGGAGAGGAAGGAGCAGCCCTGATCTCATGCTGACTGTGGTTCTGCCCAGCACAAGCAGCTCAGGTCTTGTGTTTACCTCCTGATTCTTCCTTGGGGGACAAAGCCTAGCTTGAGTGGAAAATGAGTACTTTCTGTCACTGGCGTGAGTCCCATCAGTCCTGTCCCTGTCTGAAAGGACACAGGAAGTGACCTGGTCCTGGCTTCAGTCCCCAGGCCCATTTCTGCCTGGCCTCCCTTCTCTACCGAGCCAGCACTGCTCAAACGGGCCTGGTCTCAGGACTACTTAACTAAGTCCAGATGGCAAAAAGCTTGCCTCCTGGGGTGGAGAAGCAAACAGCTGTCAAGTGATGTTGCTTTGGAATTGCTTCTGGTTTGTCATCAGAATGAGTAACAGGACTGTGGTTCAAGTTTCTGTCCA